TGGGGGAAAATCATGTGACTATTTCCATAAAGGTTGAAAGGTATTCAACAAAATTCAACACCAATTTCTGACAACAACAGAAAAATACACATGAAACAATAGCTAGGACAAGCTGAGAAAAAAAAAGAGCAATGAGGGGAGACTATAAAACTGTCAGACAATAAAACATCCTGGAAACTAGCTAAATTTAAAACAGAGTGCTACAAAATAGAAAGGAAAACAGAATAGAAAGTCCAGAAATGGACCCAAGTACCTATGGAAGGAAATTCTACGTTAAAGGAAGCAGGAGGCCGAGCCTGGCAGATCACCTCTGGTCAAGAGTTCCAGACCAGCCTGGTCAACATGGTGAAACCCATTCTCTACTAAAATACAAAAATTTGCCAGGCTTGGTGGCCTGTGCCTATAATCCCAGCTACTCAGGAGGCTGAGGCAGGAGAATCACTTGAACCCGAGAGGTGCTGCAGTGAGCTGAGATCGTGCCACAGCACTCTAGCCTGGGCAACACAGCATGACTCCGTCTCAAAAAAGGGGAAAAAAAAATCACTGGTGATAGGATAACTGGATTGCTATTTGGAAAAAGAATTTCATCCATACTTATTTCACAATAAATTCCTAATGGGTAAAAGAACTAAATGTAAAAAATGAAACCCTACAAGCACTAAAAGAAAATGTAGATGATTCCTTTACACCCTGATGAGGGAAGAAGCTTTCTTACTATTACTAAAAATCCAGATGTAACAACAGCAAGAACAGAATTTGTGTAGTCATAAATTTGACTGCATAAAAACAAAACGAAACAACAATAACACTTCTACCTGATCAATGGGGGAAAAATCACAAGCAAAGCTAAATAAACTGAGAAAACTATTTGCAATCCATATCACAAACAAAGGGTTGTCATCCTTAACATATAAATAAATCCTACAATTAAATAAAAAGAATAAAAACTCCATTGGAAAGGAATAGACAGACTATATATAAATAGCCTTAAGTATATGAACATTTTCTCAGTTTCACTCAAAATAAGAGAAGTGAACTAAAACTATGCTGAGATAACATTTTTCACAGTCATATTGGTGAAGATTCAAATGCCTCTCCAGTGCTCTGTTGATGACATTCTGAAGAAACGGGCACTCTCACAGACTGCAAATAAAAGTACAAAATAGTATAACCCTATGTAAGGGAATTTGACAATGTTTACTAAATCTTGATCTAGCCCTCCCATCCATAACAATTTACCCTGAAAATACATCTCCAATAATATGAGAGTCCAAAAGCATAAAGTTATTAATGGAAGAATTACTTGAGATAGCAAAATACTGAAAGCAACCTAAATGCCCATCTATAGGCAAATGGTTGAACAAACTATGATCCATATAAACAATGAAGTAGCCTGCAGCTGTCAAAAAATAATGGGGAAGATATCTATGACCTGATATGAAGTGATTTACAGGACACATTGTTAAGTGAAAAAAGTAAGACACAATACAATAGATATAGCATGGCAACTTTGTATAAGAAAGAAAGGGTAATAACAATATGTATATAGGTACCTGCACATGCAAAAAGAAACACAGGGAAGATAAACCAGAAACTGTGTTTGGTTACCCATAAAATAAGAGGGAAATGGAGAAGTCTGAGACTTCTCCAAGAACAACTTACTGTCAAGTTGTAACTTTTGAACCATGTTCATATTTTACATATTCAAAACAATAGCATGTGTAGGGGGAAACCCTTAAATGTAATACAAACAGAAACAAATAAACATAACTATGTATCAATTGATAGCATAACCACACAGAAAAAAATCATTAATCCAAGTGACTTTTGAACACAATTCTCTGTATACTTAGTGGAATATACCCTAAGGACAAAAAGAACTGCAAAGAAATCTTGACCTCTACTGAAAAGGTTTGTTGCTGGTAGTGGTACTGGCATAGTAATTGCAAGTAAATGAATACACATATTGAAGCTGCTGGGAACCAGAGTTTTTACAGTGGGAGAAAGGAGATATCAACGTGGGATAGGGGAAGACAAAGAACAATCCTGAGGTATACAATTGGAATTAGAGTTATTTGTATTAACTCATGATGTTTTAAAAAATACATGCTTCCTAGCTCTATCCACTGAGAGGGCATAAAAGCACAGACACACAGAGAAATATATGTGATTATATACAGATATAGCTGTAGATATATAAACATACAGAGATACAAATATAGAAGGAGAAAAAGCAAATGGATCAAAACGTTAACAATTGCTGGATCTCGATGGAACGTATGAATGTTTACTGTATGGCAACTTTTCTAAGAGTTTGTAATCATCCCAAATAAAAAGTCAAGGGAAAAATAGTTTGTCTTTGTCTCCAATCGCTTTTACATTTGAGTTGTACTTCTCTGGACCTTTTCTAGCCCTGGTTCATCTTTCTTGAGAGCTGGTGAGTGAAACAGGCTGCGGTGAACAAGGCCTAGGCGCACCATCACCCTGGCTGAGGGTGAGATGGTTTCATCTTGTTAGAATCCTGTGGATTATCCAGGAACCCGCTCTCATGACTCCCCAGTCTCTTGTCAAGGATGGAATTAAAGTTCAGAGCTCTCATATGAGAACATTTTCAGTCACAAATTGGCAAGTGCATTAAGACTTATCAGTGGTTTCTCTGCCCACTCACGTGAACTTGTAGGATCTTTCTACGGAATCTCCTCATTGATCACATCTTTCACACTCTAGAAGAATTTAGCAGCACTGATCAGTCAACAAATACTTCCTGAGCACCAGGCACTGCTATAGCACAAGGGATGCAGCAGTGAAAACACAAAAGTTTCAGGTGTAGTGGAACTTACGGTTTCCTGGTGGTTGTTGGACAAGAACAAATCAGTAACTAAAGTGTAGGGTACGAGGCCGGGCGTGGTAGCTCACGCCTGCAATCCCAACACTTTGGGAGGCCGAGATGGGCGGACTCACCTGAGGCTGGGAGTTCGAGACCAGCCTGACCAATATGGAGAAACCCTGTCTCTACTAAAAATATATAAAAATTAGCCGGCCATGGTGGCGTGATCCCAGCTACTTGGGAGGCTGAGGCAGGAGAATCGCTTGAACCTGGGAGGCAGAGGTTGTGGTGAGCCAAGATTGTGCCATTGCACTCCAGCCTGGGCAACAAGAGTGAAATGCCGTTTCCAAAAAAAAAAAAAAAAAAATGTAGAGTATGTCAGTGGGTGATACAAACTATAGAGAAGAGCAGGCCAGGCAGACAAGGTCTTGGGCAGGGCTTGCAGAGTGGGTTGCAATCTTTAAATAGCACGGCCAGAGTGGGCATCATTGAAAAGGCTACATCTAAGCAAAGACCGGAAGAGGTAAAAGGGTGATCCACTGTGATATCTAAGAGCAGGGAGGTTCCTGGAAGTGCAAGTGTCCTGTGGCAGGTGCTGTCTGGCCTGTCTGAGTAACAGGAAGCTGTCTGGCCTGAGTAACAGGAGCTGAGTGGGCACAAAGGTGGGAGAGGACTGAAAGGGCCAGGGTGGGGAGGTAGAGGGCAGTGGCACTATGTGGCTTTGTAGGTCATCTGTATATAGGTCACTGTCGGTCTTTGACCTTGACGCAGAGTGTCACGGGAACCTTGGGAGGATTCTGAGCGGAGGGTTGACATGGTCTGACTCACATTTTTAAAGTCTCAGCTAAAGCAAAACAACTTTCCTATGCTCCCTCTTTCATAAAATGTAAGAGTTGATTGTCAACCCGATCCCTGAGGAATCCTTTTGATTTCTTCACTTCTTTCCCATCCCCAGACAACTTATGAAAGCCTCCTTAAATAACAGCAAGAGCTGTCACCAACGAGTCCTCGTGGTTCCATCATGGCGATGGAACGGAGCATTGGCATTTGCAGGTATTTTCAACCATGTCCCCATCTTTGAAGATGAAAAGCAGCCTGGGCGAGATGAGAGGATATGGAGAAGGTGGAATCAATGCGGGTGTAAAGAGGCCAAAAGTGCATCCTCATACAGGGAGCTAGGAGGCGGGGTCAGAGGTGGGAAGACAAGGAAATTGGCAGCAAACTGGGACTCCTGGGACATCTAGCAAGGCCAGGGAAATGTCCATGTCCAAACCCAGAGAATTTATTAAAATCACAACAGTATGCCAGGGACTAGGAGAGAGGAATGCCCCACTCTTAGGGCATTCTCAGCTTAGAATCTGTCAGAGGAGTCCTGGTTTCTCCCATTTCCTGAAACCATTTTCCTGAATGTAAACCTTGTGGCTTTTCATCAGGGGGCCGCAGAGGGCATGCGGTCCATTCCAAAGGATTCCGGTTCTGGTGCTTGTGTTTAGTAGGGAACTCTAAAGACAGAAGGGATGACACCTCATCCCAAGGAGCTTGGGACTGGGGAGCATTTCTTCCCTAGTTGATGAGTGAAGCAGGGACCTCATGCAGAGCTAAGCCCCTCCATTCTTTCCTTCTGGGGCTGTGCATCTGTGTCGGGTGCTCAAGTGCTCACTGCACTGCACCCACCACAGGCAGAGCATGACAAAAGGATGCAGATGAGCAAGTTAGGGGTCGGGGGGGGCCTGAGAGAGAGGATCAGGCAGAAATATGATTCTTCACCCTCCCATCTGTTCTCGCCTGGCTTTTTAGATTCTATTTATGAGCATTATATTCTTAATGAATTTTTGAAGTAAGAGATGAGGAGCTGGCAGACCACTCTCCTGTCGGTGGAGAACACCGCTACCACTAACACCAACTGGTTTTATGACACGATAGAGGAGAAATAATCAATGCATAAATTAGAACTTAACGTTGTCATAAACACTGGAGCATCAGGATTTAGTGAGAGGAGGGCAGGCCAAGATATGACAAAGTTGTAATTGGGAGACAGGAAGCGACACTATTTTTCAAAGTAAAATAAAAAAAAGGGGAAAGGAGAGAGATTAGGAGAGAAAATGAAATGCACCGTCTTTGCCAGGCTAAGTTACAAATGACCCCTTCAAATTAAAAAATGCCAGCGACTTACGTGATATCAGCATTAGGGTGAAGCCCAAAGACTTCAGGGTTATCTAAGGATGGCAGTGACTGGATGTATTCAAAATACTGGTCTAAGGTTTTGCACACAGGGATTTTATATCCAGTATAAAAGCAGAATGACGGTTCAAACATCTTCTCACTGAACCAGACCTGTATGTGAGAGAAAACAAAAGAAATAAAATTGATGAGCATCTAAATGAAAACTGCTACAAGAAAGGAGAGAGGGGTCACCTTATTTCCATTTTAATAGAGTTTTTAATACTGATTTTGAGAGTGTCTTAACAATACTACTGATAGAATAATTAGCACATATATGGAGAAAAGAGAGAGGCCAGAACACAATTTGACCTGGCCTCTGTTTAACACCAAAGAGGATATTCACTAAGAGTAAGGACCAGAGAGCAACTCTACAAACCCATTCTCTAATTGAGTCATTTGACAACTCTCAATTCTACTTTAGCAGTAGGAACATACTGCAAAGTCTGTGAGGCCATACCCCCACACGCAAGAGAGTATCTGGGCATTTTCATCACCCCACTTCTCCCCAAAGTGGGGCTCATACCAGGAGGATGTCCTTATGCGCAGTTTCACTCACACAGCACTGAGCCCCAGCACACGGCCAGGAGGGCTCCATGCAAACTCTCCCCTCCCACCTTGCGCTGAAGAGCTTCATTTGCTAATTATGTCCCTGTACACAAGAAGTAAATGTATTCAGCTGCCTTGCTGTTTGCCTTAAGACATCCCTTTCTTATTCCATATGAATTATCTTTAACAAAACAGTGAGAGAATAAATATATGGTTAGTGTGAATAGACTTATTCTCAGAAAGGAAAAAAAAACGATGCTAAATGCCTATGAACCAGATGTGAGGCAATGACTTACGTCTCCCAGAGCAATTTTCCCAGTGGGGAAGGAAATAATGGGAAGACAGGAAGAGTGGAAATGCAGGCACGACATCTGAATTACTCAGAGCACTTGACAGGAAAGAGGGACGGTGCCTTACTCTGGTTGGTCACAGGTTCTCTAGTACCTTCCCTCCATCTCCTTCCTCCAGCTCTTTTTAGATCCAGTGATTGCTCTGAAATACCCTGTGTACTGATTCTCTCTCTGTTTTATCCTATTCAACTCCTATGCATGAGCAGGCTGAGTTTAGAACCAGAACAGAATGAAAGAGAAGAGACACACAGTCCTTTCTTTCAAGGAGCTTGTGACCCAGTGGAGGGATGAGCCAATTACTTAATAACCATAATACAAAGTGCACTAAGGCAAGAGTCAGAAGGAAATAAAAATAAGCAAAGTACTAAGGAGGTTTAAAGCAGGAACAAGAACATCCAGGTGAATGTCAGCTGAGGTATTCTCAAGGAGGTGATTTGTGGAGATAAGCCTTGAAGGAGAGGATTTTGACAGGAGAACTTGGAATGGGGAGGTCACATAAGCAAAGGTATAGAACAACTGATGCAAAAATGAGAAGCAGGTTAAGGGAATAATGGAATATAGGGTGAACACAATGTAGTCATAAGAGATAGGACAGGAAGGGTGAGGTGAGGTCTACTATGGATGACTGTTGATGTCAGGGTGAGGACTGGTGATTAATTTAAGAAATGGAGAGTAGTTGAAAGTTATTAAAGAGAACAGTGTTATGAGCATGGTCATTACTTAGAAATATTAGATTTTTCACAATGCAGATGACTTAAATTGCAGGAAGACACCCTAAGGGGGCAAAGGCCATGGGTCCTCAGCACACAGATAACAAATGACCACACCAAATTCTGTGTTGCCAGATGACGTGTATGTGTAAGAGCAAAATGAAGTTTCTTCCTGTTTTCCCAGCACTTTATACACACACAAATAGCTGAGTTTCACCAAATTTGGAGGCTATTTTGGGGCAAAGTCAAAATATGAAATAAGAAATCTACACGGAGCTACTATGTGAGCAGTCATCCCCCACAAACACCCAATACAGTTCTGCAATTGGTTTTAGCAGAGAGACTCTGTAAGACGCTGAGAACAGAGAAAACAAGGTTCAAAGAAAAGCCTGAGATTGAAAGTCAGAGGGACAGCGGATGCCATATGCAGGCATGAGTTTACAGTAGAACTGCTTCTCCCATGGGCAACTCTGGATGACACGGTTGGGGTAAAGTGGAGGCAGTGCAGGCAGGTAGCTAGCTGGTCAGAAGGCAAGCCTGGGGCTGAGGATGAGATCAAACAGGTGAAGGCAGGGTGTGGGGGCTGTGGGGCTTTTGTGCAGCCTTTCTCAAGAGGGTTGCTGCTCCCAGGTTTGTGTGGTAAGCTCATGCCCTTAGGGTCGGAGACCCAAACTCACATCTGGTTATTGATGACCATCTGCAACAGGTCTAAGCTAGACAGAAATGAATGAGGGAAAGCAACAAGACAGGAGGTTGGAGAGGATGTAGGGCAAAGAGAAGATTCAGTAGGATAAGGAAGTGGGGTGTCCAACAGTCAGAGAATTGAAGCCACTGAAGGCTATGCTACTCTTAGGGAAGTCCTGAGAGAGGGGGAGGGAATGAGCCCACAGAAGTTACTCAGGGAAATGAATGGGAAAATAGTAGGATGAACTTTTGACTTCAGGCACTAATTGCTGAGAATGGAGTCCAGAGAAACCAGAATCAGATGATAGAAGGGAGTAACAAAACTCAGGTGAGGAGGAGCTGCTGTTACTTGGGAACAGCCGATCAACTGGGGCCTGGATACGGAACCCTGTGCTTTTAGATCAGGAAGTCTGCACAACCAAGGCCCAGAGGACAGAGAATCTTGGGTTTCTAGGAGAGGGTTGAGGTCAGCTGACTAGTCCTCTATGGCCCGAAATGCCAAATGTCAGGGTACAGGGAAGAAGTAGAAGAGAAAGAAAGGAAGGAGCGGGGTCAGAGAGGGGAATACCCCGCTTGAGTTCTTGAAGGTGGAGCAGGCTTCCTCCCCCTCCCTGTGTTCCTGGCTCAGACATCTCCCTGGAGGCTCTGGACCAACACAGCAGCTTTCCGTTGTCACTATCTACATGCTGAAGAATTCCAGATCCTTATCTCCATGCCTGAGCTCCACCATGACCTCTGGATCTGTACATCCAGGTGCCTTGTTCACCAGCATTCAGGCATTTGTTCTTTTATTCAACAAATATTTACTGAGCACTTACATGTGTTGGGCTCTGTTTCCGGTGCTCAGACTTTGGCACTGATGTAATAAGACAAAGTCCTGCCCTCATGGCAGTTACAGTCTTAGACAACTTGATTAGGATGTCTAATAGACATCTCAAATGTTATATGATCAAAACTGAACTCTTAATTTCCAGCCCCAGACAATACAACTCATTCCTGCTGCAGTCCTTCCTCTTCTCTGTAAATAGCCCCATTCTGTGTCCAGTGACTTAAGTCAAAACTGGGGGTGACCCTGACTCCCCTCTTCTTTCACCTATGCACTTGATCCCATCAGCATTCTGCTGGTACTCTTGGTGAATTATATTCTGACGCTAACCACATCTTAGTCTCCACTGCTAAAACTCCAACTTTAGGTACTTTTACAATTATTCTAACAAAGTATACTTACTATGACATCTTTTTTTTCTCCTTTGAATCTCAAAAACAGAGGTGAGTTTCTCACACTCCTGAGTTTATTATTTTTATGAATCTAGGCCCCTTTTATTTTAATTTTTCCCCATTCTGTCCAGATATCCACTCACTGTCTCCTTTTCCCTCTGAGGGCATCTGTTTAAGTATACTGATATATACGTCCTAGAACATGTATTTATCCTTGTGAGCTATGCACATATTCCTTTGTAGATCTCGCTTGATTTTTTTTTAAAGCTCTGCACTCAACACTATTTGTAAGACCTATGCATGATATCATATAGATCATTGCTTCCAAAAGCTACACTGTATGCCGCCATAGGCCTCTACAACAGGTAACTTAACTATTTCCCCATGATGGATGCCTAAGTTGCCTTCAACTTCCCACTACCACCAACGATGTTATGAATAATCTCTTTGGTACATTCTGAGAATTTCTCTGGGACATTCTGGTTCAGAAGGTAGTCGTATCACACACTTGATATGACTATGACCACCAGGTTGCACCCCACAAGGGTGAGCAACAGTATGCCATGGTGCTCACCCACCACATCTTATCTATTCTCTTAGGAGTCTTGGGTTTTTGTAGCAGATGCTGTGATGTGCCACCCGATCCTCATTCAGGAGCAGGTACTCACTCCCCCCACTGTCTGGAGTGTTGACTACTGTGAGCTCACAGCATTGCCCCTCCCCAGGTACTGCCCTAGCAGGAGGGAGCTGCCTCAGCCAAGGTCATGTCTTGGAGGAAGGCTGGGGAGGAGGCACTTGAATGCAAATCTCCACCTCTGTTTCCAGGAAAACCAATCTATGATGCTTGCCTTCAGCTCCAAACACAATGCTGCCATGAATATGTTTCTACGTGTCCATTTGTGGACTCTCTCTAGAAATGTTCTGCGATATATTTACCTGAGATACCTAATTTCATAAGTATTACTGGACTGCTTTCCAGGAGGTCTATGTCCATTTGACCTCCCAGCAGCAGGGCTCCTCCCTCCGCACATCTTCACCAACACTTACTATTTTTCACAGTTCTCCATATGTAGCTTCAAGAAAAACTTACTAAAACATGTAAAGGTTAAAAATCCATTTTCTAGTCAACCCCCAGCTTATCAAAATACTCCCAAAGTTTGTGCTTTGTTGCTGAGGCTTTAATTTTGTCAAGAGAAAAGAATCATTTAAGTAGAGAATTACCAGTATAAGTCCCAATATAAAGAATTTAATAACCATAAAAGACATCTGGTTTTTTTTTTTTTCCACTTAGGTGTTGTATATTACATCCCTAAAATGTAAAAAAATTTTAAGAAGAGTTTGAGTCTGGTAGGTGTTATTTCTTACATTCATCCCTGATGTGAAAGCCACAATTGCTAAGAAACAATTTTCTCTAGAAAATATTTATCAGCATGTTACATGTGGATTTTATTTGGCACAGAGAAAAAGTGAACACTTCCTCAATTTCCAATTGTCCATCCTAATGGAAGAGATGAGAAAACTCAAATTATGATTAATCCCCCAATCACTTATTTTGGGGCTTGAAATCACCATGAGACTTCTCACTCAGAGGAAGTGGCACAGAAACGAGGCACAGTGTTTCCCTCACAAGTCAGATGCCCAGGAATGGGGAATATGGAGGAGGGGCGGTGGGGGAGAGGACCTGGGCACAAGCAGTTTCATCTGTATGGAAAAGGAGTTACAGACCAATGAGAACTGACCACTGCTCTGCTCCGCACCACAAGTAGATTGTTGGTTGGTTTTTGTTTTTGTTTTTGTTTTTTTGAGACGGAGTCTCACTCTGTCACCAGGCTGGAATGCAGTGGTGAGATCCCAGTTCACTGCAATCTCCGCCTCCCAGGTTCAAGTGATTCTTCTGCCTCAGCCTCCCAAGTAGCTGGGACTACAGGAACTCACCACCACGCCCAGCTACTTTTTGTATTTTTAGTAGAGACGGGGTTTCACCATATTGGCCAGGCTGGTCTAGAACTCCTGACCTCGTGATCCGCCCGCCTCAGCCTCCCAAAGTGCTGGGATTACAGGCGTGAGCCACCGCGCCTGGTCCAATTGCTGGTTGTTTTGTGTGTGTGTGTGTGTGTGCCTGTGTGTGCATGTGTGTAAGCACACACATGCGTTTGTTTCTTGGCTAATTCTTTGCAGCAGCTCTGCTGTATGCTTAAGTTTGGCAGACCTATTACAAACAAAAAAATTGGAAAATATAGTGAAATGTGTCTCCAAACTTTATTTGTCTAAGTTGACTTACTCTGGCAAAGCAATTAAGTAGACGTTTGTCAAAGTCATCTGTCACTCTGCCTCCGTATTGTACTTCTCCGATCATGTACCGAACCGTATTCCATGATACACCCTTTATTAAAAGTAAAAAAGGATTATTCATTGCCAACCCAAACACATCATTATAAACATTTCAGGTCTTTCCCTAGAGGAAAGGTCTGGAAAAGGAAGCACTCACTAGACTCGCATTTAAAATTATTCATAGTCTTATACTAATAACTCTTTCACTATTACATGGCTGGAACCACTACAGTTTGTTCACCAAGAAAAATTCTACAATACTAAACACTGGTAAGCATACTGCACGTATATTATTTAAAATAGGGAAAAAAGACTATTTTTCACTATGGGGATATAATTACCTATAATACTCATTGTAGTAATGCCAAGCTGTTACAGAGGAGCAAAGTGGTGTTTAGTGAAGAAAGGAGGAAAATCAAGTAATCATCACTTTAACACGCTTTCTTAGTAATATATTTTCTGGAATTATGAGAACAACAAGAAAATTATTTATCCACAAGATTTTTTCTCAGTGCAATCCTCTGCCATCCTCTGCATTTCATTCTGTGTGCTAAAACTACATCAAAATATTTATTCATTTCTAGAGCAATTTTATACTAGGAATATATTGCAATTTAGCAGTTTTTTTAAACCTTTGATATATTTGAGTTAGGAGAAATAAAGATATTTGCTTTTTGTTTACTTTTTCTTGGTTAAAATTTTATTTTTCAGCTTGGATGCCTTTCAAAGCAACTATTTTAAGGTAACTATTATTTGCATGTACCAAAATGATAAATGACCACAGAATATGAACACATAGAAAATAACTTTTCATTAGACTGCCAGACTTTTAATTTCATATCCCTTTGTCATTTCAAAGAAAAATTACAGTTTGGTTCTAGAGTAAAAACTCATCATGGGTTACCATCCCCATACTGAGGCTGCAGGATCTCTAATTACCTTGCCCTACTCTGGGAAGGAAGAGGGGGCCAGTCTGTAGAGAGTCATAGTTAATGAGCCCTTATTATGCACAGTGTACTGTGCTTTCACAAATACTAACTCATTCCTTCCTCACAGAAACAATGGCCATTTTATAGATGAGGAAACAGGCTCCCAGGCTCATTGACTTGCCAAAGATTATAGAAAAAACAAATTTCCAACCCTTTATATGTGTGAAAGGACAACAGAGTTTACGTTCTTAGCTCTGTGACCTTGAGGAAGTCTCTTAGTCTCTCTTGTCTGTTACCTCATCAGTAAAATGGGTAATAAATAAATAAATAATAATGCCTCTGTTATTGATCTCACAGAGTTGTGAAGATAAAAATGAGATCCTGCATACATGAGAACTTTGAAAACTGCAAAGTGTCATATGATGATGAATGACCATTACTAGAAAGTATTGTTATTCATAGGCATAAGCTGAGCAGTTAAGAAATGACTTAAGGTGGAAAAGAACTTTCACATGGGCTGGCAGATACCGTCTTCACTTCTGAAGAGGCAGGAGGAGGACCCGTGAGGAGAAGCTTGACCTAAGGCACACTTTCTCTTGAAGTGCACTGTGGCCCTTGAGTGCAACATGAAGAAAGATGCGGTATTTTGCCACACACTGAGTTAGTTAGCTTCCATGGTATGTGCGTGTTGGGGGCGGGGACAGGCTGCCCCAGCAAGTGCCTGATTAGAACAAGTCCCTTCAAAGGGGGCTCCATGGGGCTCAGCAAATTCACACTGTATCATAGACTTCAAACGACTGTAGAACCCTGATTTAAGAAGAGCAATAAAAACAGGAAAAAAGGCACAGTTTCACTCACTTTTTTAATATCACATTCATCAAGGTGATTCTGAATAAACTGAACACTGGCTGAAAAGTCAGCGGAATTGAATTCGTAGGGAATATTCCATCCTAAGGGGCCAAACTTTCGTCGCTCCTTAAAAACACCAAAGAAAAGTAAGTATTGCGTGTACCTGATTCCATTTTTATTGCTATCAAAATACAGTAAAATTAAGGCTATATTATCAAAATCAATTGACATTAGTTTAAAAGAATAGTATATACAATTTTGGATATACAGTCATGTCGCTTAACGATGGGGTTACCTTCTGAGAAATGCATCATTAAGCAATTTCCTCATTATGCGAACATCTTCGAGGTGCTTACACAAACCTAGATGGTACAGCCTATACACACCTAGGCTACATGAGGTAGCCTATTACTCTCAGGCTACAAACCTGTGCAGCATGTTACTGGACTGACTACTACAGGCAACTATAACACAATGGTATTTGTGTATCTAGACATATCTAAACACAGAAAAGGTATAGTAAAAATACATTATACTCATACGGGACCACCACCATATATGCAATCCATGTTGACTGAAACATTATGGGGCATATAGCCATATTAGAAATATTACTTCATGGCTCTATAGCTAACTGGTTTATACAAACAAATCTCCAAAGATTTGTCAAGTTGGAGTTTTTGGGTTTTTTTTTTTTTTTTTTAAGTCTAGGTCTCCACGGACAACTCAAAAAAATGCAGTAGGTGCTCAACAAATATCTGTTGAATGAACTGTTATTCTACATTGGACTCCCGAAAGTTGAAAATGTCAAATGCAAGGGTTTGAATTTTTTCCGTTGGATTACCTAAACCTCTCTCAAGAGCACTTAGATTCTGTGATGACTTCACTTGGCAATCTTGCCATTTCAAATTTTGAAAACTAAAACTTCCTGTTGTACACATGACGTGTCTGTCTTGAAACTTTCACGTGACCCTCATTTGTTTCCCTCTACTTAATCAAAGAGGGCCTAAGAGACTCCTGCGCAATAGTGGCTAACTGTTTGCAATTGCCAAATCACCCGTAAATAATCAAACTGGACTCAGAGCAAATGATTCAATTGTTTTGATATTCCGGAGAGCATTTTAAAGGTATGGCAAGTATTAGACCTGATAGCTCCAAGAACTGATCATCCAACAAACCACATGGATGAGTCCAGATGTTTCCAAGGCATCAGCTTTTCCTCTCCCAATACATAATCAGTCTCTAAGGAAGGTCCGATGATTTATTAGATTAGTTCCTAGACCCTAATTCTAGTGCCTAAGGTAAGGACCCATGTGGAGAGTAGAATCCCTATACATCTGCGGGAAGGTTTAATTCTACTCTTTTACCTCTAAGTATATACTAACTTTTCTTTTTCTTTTCTGCTTTCCCCAACTCAACACACACACATAAACACACACACACACACACACACACACACTGCCATTTTCACAAGCCATTCCAATCTTTCTTGCTGCAGCTGTTCCATGCTTCAGATCCTGAACAATCCCACCGTTTAAAAAAAATCTAAATAAATTTTTGCTTGGACAAGTTCATGAACAGGTCAGAGAAGACATTCAGAAAATTCAAAGGTTTTAATTACTGAGTTTCAGGGTATGCTTTTAAAGTATTTAGTAAACCATTAAGATTAATTTGGGTCTAGATGTTCTGACCCTGGGAGATCAGACGAAGAGCAAAAATAATAAAAATAATAATAATAATAATAGGAGTAGCGCTTAAAAACGTAAAGTACTACTGTTACCTCTAGACCTAAACTTCTTTAGTTAAGGTTGTCAGGCATTAGAGATTTGTACTATGTGACACCCACTCCTATCCCTTAGCTAATCTGATCCAATGTAGAAAGCCAGCCCAAAAATAACTGACCAGATTCCTTCTCCCAGGAATTTGAACTTAGGGTTTGTAATTGCTATCTGGGGCTTAGACTAGGAAAACTTGTAAACTCAGGAGCTGTGAGGAACCATCTTCCACCCTGTACTTAGAGAAGGTGAGGAGGAGCAGAGGCCACAGCCTTGAAGGGAGGAGAGACTGTGTGGTCCCAGCTGCAAGGGCGGAAGCCTTGGTCCCTAACACTGTTTCTCTTGACAGCTTTCTGCTTTCTAGTCCCAGCATTCATGTTGCCTTGGTTTTTGTTTTGTGGGTTTTTTTTAGATGTTTCATATTGAAATATATGGTCCTATAACCAGATTTGGAGCCTTGACAGTGAAAAACACGTCTTCTATTTTTGTCTCCCCTTTTGCACCTTGGGGGAAGGAATCATGGTTGCCTAATAAACACTGGTCAATTATTACCAGGGTAGAAGGAACCCTTTCTCTGTAAGAGGTCAATGCTGAGGCTGACCCGGGGTTTGGCATTTCTGAAGTGGGCCTCAGAAACATTGAGGTGAGCCTCTTCCAGATTATCCCAGGAGCAAGGGTGGGTTGAGAGGGTTATGGGATACTAACATGAAAATTCATACAGCTACCCTTTTAGTTCTTGGAATTTCTTCCATCTTGAGGACTTTGAAGAGAAGAATGCTAATGACTTATTAGTGAAATGCAGATGTTTTCCCATTTTTGAAAAAGAGAATCAGAATTTACACTATTAGTTTTACCTATGTGTTTGACTTAATTTTTAAATTTTAATGTTCAATTAGATGGATGGCCGAATGAAAAATAACTCCAATTACTAAAGCTGCTCAGATGGGCTCTATGGAAACACTCCTATTTATATGCACTGAGTAATTGCAATTTAGTTGTTCCTTAAAATGTGAGTTTTGAAAATTGCCCTAATGCTGAGATTTGCTTCATGTTTATATTTCTTACTACCAGTTTTCATCTAAAGCATTTACTTTTTAAGTTGGTTCACTAAAGTCATAAACTGATTAGCTCATCTTGGGAAAATAAAAAAGTCCCAAATCTTAGTGGGTGCCTTTTCTTTCACAAATGAAGTCATTTCATCTTCTTGCTATTTGTTTTTAATTACCTTGGAATACTATCAGGATAGACTCAAACAACTAGAACCTAAGAGCTCATTGGGAAGATCAAAGCAAGGGGTTTTGCGAGACTTATTTGGAATATTGAATTTCTTCAGTTTAATTAACATTTTTGAAACCATGGGATGAGTCCTATGCAATACAATAAAAAATATTAAAATGGATGCATTTTCAAGAAGTTTTAATCTGTTGCAAAAACAAGACTTAGAGACAAGAAAAAGAACAATGGGATAGTGAATATAATTAACTGTCAACATTTCACAGATGATAAGCCTGAAGGAGACGTTCAGTCAGAGGCTTCCGGGAAGAATAAAACTGAAGCTGGTCTTTGCAAAGGGGAGAGAAGAGACTTTCAGGGTTGGCAAAAGCCATGAGCAGAATTAGGAACACAAATCCCGTGACTCATGGAGAAGAAGGCTGCAGACAGAAGGTTCTACTGCAGCAGAGGACTAGCTCTGGTGAGTAGCAGCAACTCAGTGTTCCCGTGCTTCAAGGCACGGAACGCAGACAGATTTGAATGTTAAAACTTCATTTGACAGAAGGGAGTGACTATACATCATCAAGCTGGGGAGTGATGATTTTAGGAAAACCAGTCCACTCCTTACTTAATTTGACTAATACAGTTTCTTCTTTTCTTTTCACAGAATATGCAAAACTCTGAACTACTAAAGAAATATGGAAAATGTGGAATCATGAAACACTCCTTAGAACACTGATGAAAAGTTGTTCAACCCTTTTAATGATGTCAGAGCCATTTCCAGTTTTACGTTAGGCTCTACCTCTGCAGTTCCCACAGAGCTGCAGAATCATTTCACAGCTTCAAAACAAGACAACTGGATTTATCTCTCTAACTCCAATGACTGGAGCTAATATACAAAGAAAAATACAAGCCACACTAGACAATGTAAGGGAAATTTTACTAGGTAAAAATAGTTAACAGAAACAGCCAGAACCTCTGGGAAACACTACGGGGCAGAGTGTAAAAGATAAACCTGCATCATATTATTATAATTATTCAAAGACATTTAAATGAGGAATTTTATAATCATCTCTCCCCAAAGCAAGAATTTTATATACACTATTAAATTTGAAAGGAATGTTTATCAAGGCTCAGACTTGAGAAAGAAAACAAACAAAATATAGGGGAAGCAAACACTTTTCTGAATGAAAACTGTTAATAGTGAGATTCCCTGGGCCCTAGGCCTGTTTTATTTACTATCTAAGTAATTTTTAAGGGCATGATAAAATTTCCAAGTTTGCCACTGCCACTACAGGCCCTTAGAGATCCTAATCAATAACTTTAGCTAAAAAAGAAAACTGAAAAAAAAAAAAGACCACCTCACCTCACAGAGTTATATATAAGCTGTTTGAAAAGTCAGAAAGAAATATGCAGTTCAATGTGGACAAACCAAGGTGATGGGGAGAAAAACTCCAGACTATGAAGTGGATATAAAAATGGTTCAAGACTCTTCCCTTAAGGGTTGTGGCCATTTGGCCATTATTTTCAATTCTTGCCACATATCAGGATCACTTGGAAGTTTTTAAAAAGACTGAGCTCCTTCCTTTTGGCCTCCTGGGGATTTTGACTTAAGTGTCCTGTTCTGGGGCCCAGGCATTGGCTGAGAAGACAATTGTAGATAATTGGCTGAGAAGACGATTGCTTAAGACATTTACTGGGTCCAACACATACCTCAAAGAGCAGCATGTCGACAATCAATAGGAAAAAAAATAACCCATAGAACATTGTTCTGATCTTCTGCAGGAGGTGTTAGGAGGTGGCTAAAAATGTAATGATTGAGTTTCAAAAGACTAAGACTTTGGAGGAAAATGTGCTTAAAATTAAAATCCCAAAGGGTGAACGTGGGCTTGCTCTGAAACCCAGAACGATGCTACACTGGATGCTACACTGCCCAGGAAAGCGTAGAGACAGAATACTGAGGCCAGAGAGAAGCTTCCCTCTTAGGTAATCTTCAAGAGGATGCTGAAATATTCTCAGGGAGTGGCAGCCAAACTGAGACCAGGCACATACCAGGGTCCTGGGAATAAAAGGCTCCCATAGGGAGAGCAGAAGGGCCACTGGCAAAAGTAGAGACATCACTGGACTGCAGCAGGGGTGGGGGCTTCAGCAGGAACTTCCCCTCTCAGGGTAGGTGCTATTGCCCTGTGTGGATAGTAAGTTGCTGGAGGAGAGGGGGAGTGGCGGGGAGCAGAGCTTAGTGCGGCGTTGCCTCGTTCATCTTCCCATGGCACGTTCCCACGGCAGCACCCAGGGCACCCTCCTCCTGGGAAAGCCTGCTCCCACCTCAAGAATAAAGCAAACCACGCCCTCCACCACTCTTCTACCCAAGTTATCCTTGACCAGCCAAATCTACTTCCCCTTCTCCCAGGAAAGGAGAGGCGCTCATTTTGTTCCCTGCAACAGAAGTAGAATCCACATATCATGCCTACGAACTGGGGTAAGCTGATGGCATAATGCCACCCAAACCAGGATTCCATGGGAGAAATTACATTTTTTACTGGAGAGCAGGCAGGGAGTTGGTTATTTTAATCCTGGGTTCTGCATTGTAATGTGGGATGAACTCCAGCATGAACCCCTCTGGAGCCTCAGATCCTGTGCCTAATTCTTTTTTCAGTCTCTGCAAGAACAAAAGTACATATAACATGTTTGTTTAAAGCAAGGGATACCTGTTTCAATTTGGAGGACTCAATTAATTAACAAATCAGATGTTTGGCTCTTATACTCAACAATAGAGACAGAAAAGAAACATTAGGTCACAAACTACCTAATCCACAACATTCCTTCCTATAGCAGTTGAGTCTCAGACATTCAGGTGCATACAAATCATGTAGGTATCTTGGTACAATGCAGACTGATTCAGGAGAGTCTGAGGCGAGATCTGAGATCCACCTCCAACAAGCTCCCAAGAGATGTTGATGCTTCTGGCCCAAGACAACAAGTCTCTAAAGATTGTGGATTTTTCTGTTAAGCTGTCCCTATCCTAACCATGTTAAAAAAAAAAAAAAAAAAAAAAAAAACTTAGGCAAAATCACAGCAAACATTTCTGTGATATTTCTGAAACATACGTCTAAAATTCCCGGGAGATTTTGGAAATATCACAGTAAACACTTCTGAAATTGATGAAAAACAATTATCTACACTCACTGTATTGTCACAGAACTGGATGACAGAATTTTAGAAATTGAAAAAACCTTGAAAGATCACCTACTCTCAACTCCAACTGCACAGATGGGGAAATAGGCCCTAAGAGAGACATAACTTGATCAACTAACTGCTTTCAGCTAACTGATTTCACAGCAAGCACGAAAGTCCAGGCCTCCTGACCCTTAGTGAAGTGTTATTTCTAGCCCTCTGTTATTTGATTTTAAGAGATATTCAGCCTTTTATTCTTGGACACTCCACTGGTAACTTCACTGCCCTAGCAGTGAAAATATTTTCCCTCTGTTTTACCCAAACACATGCGGTGTGAAGTGCAAGGGCACTTTAGCCCCACGGCTGGACCAAGGTCCTGTTGCTCTTCTTCCCTTTAGCACTTGGATAATGGCCACTAAAAACACAGGTTGCCACATTAACCATATGGAAAATACCCCCAACCAGCTCTCCACGATAAGCACAGTGGAAGAGTTGAATCATCACTACTGGGAACAGAATCATAAAATATGTTATTTGTGAATTGGGAATGACATAGCAGAGTTAAAGCAGTATTTGTATTAGAGTGTGGTAAGGTCTAGCAAAGCGAACAATTCCCAGATAAGAATGTATGAAATAGGCTTCGGTGACTTGGAAGCTGTAATTGACAATCCAAAGGCCACAATGGAACTTAGTAAAGATAAGCACCAGCAACGCATTTAATCTGATTTTAACTCTCTCAGGGTTGGGAGACAGACAAACAACACAGCCCTCTCTGTTGGGCAGCCAGGAACCTAGTAAAGTGGTAGGGATAATGAAGTAGGGGTAAATACACACAGTATTTTCTGGGGCAAGCATTAAGTTCCCCTCCATCTTTGGACAGGGCAGGGAGAGGTAATGTGAAGTTCTGCCCATCACTGTACACAGCTAAAAGCCTGACTCCTGGGATAGACCAACCGATTTATTTTGTCCTTCACCCCAGCCTCAGGGAAAAAAGAAACGCAGGTCGAGGTTAAAGGAATCTCTTCAATTCTCTGTGAAATCAAGGAATGGATCAAGTGCATTGAAAGTGTGTAGCTTTTGAATTACAGAACAAAAAATAAAATTCAGATGCAGAACAGAACACTAACGATAATTTTAAAAATCGTAACAGACAAGTTGCTTGGTAATCACAGAATTCTTAAATTATTGCCATCAGTACTAAGACTGTGAAAGCAAACAGCAAATGACTTGAGAAAGACTCGGAGCTGCTGTTCCTCCTCCTCCTCCAACATCACCACCACTTTTACTATCAGGTAATGAATAGAGTCAAAACAGTACATAAATCAGAGCCAGCCAATCCTAGTTCAGCCAATCCTAGTCAACCACATTTGAAGAGTACTTAACGTCTTTGAGATGGCGATAATCCTATCTTGAAATGTGGCTGTTAGTATTACAGAAGATGGTGCACATAAAATTCTTGGCCAGCACAGGCACTTTCAAAACCAAGCTCCTATCTTTATAATCCATTAGCTCATTCTACAAATATTTATTGAGCTCTGACAATCCCCTGTGTGCTGTTGTGACAGCAGGAGAGTCAGCAGTTACAAAAAGACAGTCTTCACCCTGGAGAATCTTACATTCCAATAGTCAGGGATGGGGGTTGGGGCAGGGGGCACACACAAAACACATAAACAAATATACACTATGCCAGGTGGGGAAAGTGCTATGAAGGAAAAGAGAGTAAGGGGACAGAGTGGCAACGGATAGCGCCCTCTTGGAAGCCTCTCCAATGAGGCCTCAGCACATCACCAGCCATCCCCTAAAGGTGAAAACTGCTTTCCATAGTTACCTGCACGGTGGAGTGTAAAAATGCTACTGTGTAAAGCATCGGCTTCCACATGGGTAAATTACTGATGTCCAGAAGGTCCTGATTAATTCCTGCAAATGTTCTTTTCAAACCTGCGCGTACACCTTGGGGTGGCTCATTAGTGAATTTGAGAGAGGTCTGTCATGAAAAGAAAACAGTGGTTTTGTTTCTATAAATTACTATAAAGAATAAAATAGAAATTACAATATTAGGCTGAGTATCCTTTATCTGAAGTGCTTGGGACTAGAAGTGTTTTGAATTTCAGATTTTTTTTCAGATTTTGGAATATTAGCATTAAATTGTTATATGAGTATTTCCTTTGAGCATTCTATTGGCACTGAGAATGTTTCTGATTTTGGAGCATTTCAGGTTTCGATTTTCAGATTTAGGATGCTCAACCTGTGCATCAGAAAACAATATGTTTATAGTACATAAAGTGGGGGCAAAGTTCAGCACTGTATAAACTAAGTACATTGATCAGAGCTGAAACTCAATAAATTAGTACCAAGTCTTAGAGCTCTTCTATGGTAATATTTACTGTAGTCTAACCTTGATGTCAAGATTGTGATGATTATAGTATTATAGTATAAGATTTTGCAGTCCAGACTCTACAGGACCAAAAAGCCCTGTTGTGTTCTCATCTTTCAACAATGTCAATGATGCCATCTTTACTTCTATAACTCTCAATGAAAGGACATTTAGTAACAAACCTGAAGCAATGTAATTGGAAATCGATCATGAGGCTCCGTAGTTATCCATACTCGGAAAGAATCATCACTGGCTTCAGTGGTAATTAGTGTCTCTAGTAATTCTTCCATGAATTCCAGGCCAAGGTGGCAATTTTGTAGTAATACCCAACCACCCTGTATCCAAAAATGAGTTCATATTTATTTCTTGTAACTTTTTTGCTATGATTTTAATAAAACAAAATGTGCACTTTTTTTTTATAAAACCATGTGAATACTCTGTTTTGAACACATTTTTAAAAATTATATGTCAATACAATAATTTCTCCGGCTATTAGTACAAGCTAATTACTTAGAATCAAGTGGGTTCAAAATGATAGTATTCTGCTACCCCTGGTTCAGAAAGGAACAGAAATTAAAACTTGAAGACAGACTTGTGTAAGTACAGTGTGTGCACCATCTAATGGTGGGAATGGGTATTTTGGAATCAGTGACTTAAGTTGTCCCGCCTAAGGTAAATCAGAACTGACTCACCCCCAAAACCAAGAAGACTGGTTCACAGTTATTCATAGTTACAAAGAAAGATACACATGATCTCATGAAAGTTGGAGACAATACATTTGGCGACATTTACTACCATAACGCTAAGCTTTATTCTTTATCATCACGCTCTTTCCACACTTTCCTGAAACCACATAACTTATTAAGCACTTTCTAAATAAATACTTGATTAAACAAACTACCTTAAAAAAATATGTCACAAAACCATCACTGCCCTGTGAGAACATAGTTTCTTCACCAGACATTTTAATACCCTTATACAGGAATCAGCTATCTTGAACGACATAAAACTACAAAATAGTGAGCACGATAAATATATGGCAAGGCATATATACCGTGTCTCAACTGTAAGCGAAAATACAACTCACACCGGCTTAACTAGCAAAGGGGATGTGCCGTCTATACAATTGGGGATTCAGAGGAAGACGGCATTCAGGATTAGTTTGTGTCATCATGGACCCACTTACTTTCTGGTTCCCCACTCTGCATTCCACAATGCCAGCTTTATGCTAACCGTGGTGTCTCTCAAGGCAACAACATGGCTGCACCTGCTCATGTCTGGTTTTCTTTTCTGATTATGCCATATAATCAATATTTACCCCACTTTGACAAACAGGGCATGGAAGTTATAAAGGCTAGCATTCCAAAGATGGTTAATGTGAACACAGTATTTAAATTAAAAAGTTTTGCACTCACAGAAACTAAAGAAATTATTTAAGACCCAAAGTTAAACTGTCAAATCACTCAACAGAGTGAAACACTTGATCTGAGTAAAAATAATTACGTATAATTGCTTTGAGATATACATGTATAAATTAAATAAATTATTGAATTTAATTAAGTGATAAAGATTAAGGCTTAGGGCATTTGAGAATTAATGACTAGCTGGAAAATTTGATGACCCAAGCAGAGTTTTAGCCCATTAACCCTCTCTAGTCATTAATTTCCAGGGAAAAGCTGCACCAAAGTTTGTACAGACATTCTGAGATCAAAAGCTTAAAAATACACCAAGATCTTATTTTATTTTTATTTTTATAAATGGTATAATTTCTTATTACAGCTGCAAAGGCTATCTACAGAGCATTTCTAGAAAATTAATGTCCTGTGTATTTATTAGGTGCAATGGGAAATCTCTCTCAACACTCCATTCAGCTTGCAATTTTCAGTGAAAACCATTACCAATATTTAAACACAGCATCCTTAAATATTTCTTATTTGCCTGAAATGATCCATTAATGAAAAATGAAAGTCTGCCTTTAACTGAAAATGGAAATTTAACTGTCTCAATCTGTCACTCCTTAAGTACTACCTATTCATATTGATCATGAAATTCCAAGATTGCTAGAGCTGCATTCTTAGAAATCAGGTGTGTCTCCCAAATTACAAAACGAACAAAAAATCAGTGAAGGTAAAATGAAGCATATACTATAGAAAATGGAATAAGCTTTCCATGGGAATATCAGGAAGAAACTAGACTGAGGTTTAAAATTCACAGGTAATGATAAGCAAAAATGGAAAAATCAGGATTGAGCATCACGAGAAGAAGGTGGTAACATCCATGACTGTGGGGTTTCCAGCAATAATGTTGCAGCAGGAGCAATCTCTTGTCACATACCTGCTGCATTGACATCTGAATCAGCTTTCGAGCATGTACTTCTTGTCCTTGCCCCATTGAGATAGTTCTACATTCTGTAACATAGGAGAAAGTTCACTATGATAAAACATAACTCTTACAGCAGGATTAGAATGAAAAATTAAATTCTGAATGATTATAGCCTCCTTCTATTGTTTCTAAGAAAAAAAGCTTTGCTGTTCAAACAGGCCTGGCCTTTGGTTGTGTGGATCAGAGAAATGCATGGAGCAGAGACCTGAAGGCACCACCCAGAAAGGCGAGGGTTGGGGGTCAGGAAGGGAGAGAAAAAGGCACATATGGTGAGAGTTTGAGATTCTTTGGAGACAATGAGGAACAAGATTAATGGTGGGAGAGGCAGTTACAATGCTATCACAGGGATTTGGAGGGGAAAAGGATTTTTTAGTTTTGCTGTAAGTTTTGGTTAGAATCCTTTTTGTTATTTTAGCAGATGCTTCTGTAAAGTTTAATTTTCTGTTGATTCCTTTTAGATATCAGGCTCACAGTGGTTTCTGTCTGCTTGTTTTGGTTTTCTTCGTATGTTTGATCATTTTTCTGAGATGAAATCTGAGACAGTTCGGCCCTGTGATGGGTACATTCAGGGGCAACCGTCTAAGACCTAGTTCTCAGCTGCTCCTCAGATTAAATCACCACCTTGGAACTAAACATGAAAACACTCCAGGATGAGAAATGTCATAATTCCAGAGATAATGCACCATTTAGGACCAGATGTCCCAGGCAGAGAACCATACTTGTGCTCTGCCACGTGAATTAGCTAAATTGAAGAAGTCTGAGAATCATGTTTACACAACCGCAATTAGAAATTATCTTTTAGGCAACCCCTTGTAGGCCCCAATTTTCTTGGGTTCTAGAGGCATAATCACTGTACAAGGAAAAGCGATCAATGGAGACATTGTGAACCAGTGTATGTTTGTGGGAACTGCTGGTAGAGACTATAAGAGGCTGGAGACTTCATGGGGGTGGGGAGAGAAGTACGTCAGAAACCAGAAACATTGTCAGGATACACCATTTAAATGGCATCCTGTGGTTAATAGCCACATCTTCCGAGAAGATCTGCAGGGTGCAAAGTTAGGGATTATTTGTGGGCTCAGGGTCACAGGGAGACACTTTGCAATGACAGCCTGAGGAGGATGGAAGAGCACTCACTGCTTGGAGAATCAGGAATTGAAATAGGCCAAGTGTTAACAAGCAAAGGTGGATTTTCCCACCCAAGTCCCCATGAATCTCTCCAGCTCCTAAGGGGGAATCTGGCACCTGAAAAGAATCCCACCCAGCCTATAAAAGCAGAAGAAAGGAGAGGAGTGACTTGAATGAGAGGAGCCTCTGGATCCTGGATAGATATCGAGCCCCACTTATTTCAGAAGAACACACAAATGTTCAATAGATTAATGAGGGAGAGTGACAGGCTCAAAAAGTATTAACACATGAGTGTGAGCCACAGCCTCTCTGTCTTCATCCAACTCCTCTGAAACACACCTTCTAAAAGGAAGGTCTGGTTTTAGTTCAGGTGACCCTGGCATAGTTGTTGCTTGATCCAGATATTGGGTCAAGAGGTGATTTACAGGCATCCCTTCATATTCAGAATCTGACCACTTCCCAACTCTGCTTTTATTTCCTGGCCTAAGTGTCCACCACCTCTTGCCTGGATTCTTGGAATGGCCTCCTAACTGGTGACAACCTCACTCCCACCCTTGTCCTCTACTAGCTATTCTTCCTACAGCAGCCAGAGGGGTCTCTCAAGTCCTAAGTCAGATTACATTCATCCTCTGCTCAGAACCATCCAATGGCTTCCCATTGCAGCCAAGGCAAAATCCAAAATCCAAACCAAAGTTCTTATTTACGGTCTATAAGGCCCTACACAATCAGTCCCTGCTACTGCTGCCACACACCACCCCCACCCCCACCCAACACACACACACACACACACACACACCTTTTCTTATCTCACCACCCCTCTATCCATTCACTTTTCTCCAGCCATAGCAGCCTCCTCGCCAGAACCTCCCCAGCCTCATTGCTGTTCCCTCCTTCAGAGTTCCAGACTCACTCCCTTCACATCTCAGGTTTTTCTCGCCCTATCAGCAAGGCTTTCCTGACGGTCCTGGTCCTATCTAAAACAGCACACCTCTCCTATCACTCTGTCCTTTCCCCTGCTTCTTAGCATATTTCATATTTTCTTCTTAGCATATTATGTACTACCTTGTTTATCAATTACTGTCTGTTTTATGTCCAGTCTAGAATATCAGCTAGGGACTTAGTTAGGCACGGTGGCCAACCCAGCACCTAGCCAGTGCCTGGCGCTCAACAGATGCTCAAAAAATATATATTTCTGAACCTTTAAAATTGAGATATAATTTCCATATAAATTATGAAGTATATACTTTATTATAAAGTATATACTTCAATATTTTAAAATATATTTATAGAGTTGTATAAGTATCACTACTGTCAAATTATCTAATTCCAGAACATCTTCATCAACTCCAAAAGAAATCCCATACCCATTAGCAGTCACTTCCCATTCCCCTCTCCCACCCCAGCAATCACAAATCTACTTTGTTTCTATTCCAGACATTTCATTAAAATGGAATTATGCAGTATATGGTCTTTTATGTCTCTCTTCCTTCAGTTAGCATGCTTTCAAGGTTCATCCACTTTGTAGCATGTATTACTTCATTCCTTTTTATGGCTGAATAATAGTTCACAGCATGGATATACCACATTTTTTTTTTTTCCATTCATCAGCACCAGATGTTTGGGTTGTTTTCACTTTTTAGCTAGTATGAGTAATGCTGCCATGAACATTCACATACAAGTTTTTGGGTGGATGTATATTTTCAGTTTTGTGGGGTATATACTCAGAGGCAAGTTTGTTGAGTCATGAGATAACCCTATCTTTAACTTTTTGAGAAACTGCTAGACTGTTTTCCAAAGCAGCTGCACCATTTTACATTTCCATTGGCAATGTATGAATGTTCTAATTTTTCCACATCCTTACCAATGCTTGCTGTTGTCCCTGTCTTTGATTATAGCTATCTTAGCGGGAATGAAGAAATAGCTCATTGTGGTTTTAATTTGCATTTCCCTAATAACTAATGATGCTGAGTATCTTTTCGTGTGTTTATTGGCCATTTGTATGTCTTCCTTGTAGAAATATCCACTCAAATCCTTTGCCCATTTTTAAATTGGGTAATTTGACTATTGTTGAGTTGTAAGAGCTCTTTATATATTCTGGATACTAGACCCTTAACAGATGTATGATTTGCAAATATTTTCTCCTATTTTATAGGTTGTCCTTTGATGGTGCCCTCTGAAGCACAAAGTTTTACACTTTGATGAAGTCCAATTTATCAATATTTCCTTTTATTGCTTATGTTTTTGGTTTCATATCTAGAAAAGCATTGCCTAATCCACGGCCACAAAGATTTACTCCTTTTTTTTTTTACTAAGTGTGTTATGGTTTTAGTGTTTACAGTTAAATCCCTGATTCATTTTGAGTTAATTTTTGTGTATGTTGTGATGTAAAAACCAAACTTCATTCCTTTGCAAATGCTTATCAGTTCTACCAGCACCGTTTGTTAAGAAGATTGTCTTTTCCCACATTGCATGGTCTTAGAACCCTTGTTGAAAACCAACTGACCATAATACGTGAGGGCTGGGTTTATTTTGGGACTCTCAATTCTGCATTGAGATATATATTCTTTGCAATGATATATATCTTTATGCATATATCACACTCTTTTAATTACTGTAGCTTTGTAGTAAGTCTTGATTTTGGGAAGCGTAAGTCCTATAGCTTTGTTCTTCCTTTTCAAGATTGTTTTAGCTGCCTTGGGTCTCATGAATTTCTATCTAAATTTTAGAATCAGTTTGTCAATTTCTATTTTTAAAAAAGGCTGTTGGGATTTTGATAGAGATTGAGTTAAATCTCTTGATCTCTTAGATGAGTACCACCATCTTACTGAAGTCTACTGATCCATGAACAAACTGGATGTCTTTCCATTTATTTAGGTATTTAATTTTTTAACTTTTTTTTTTAGTTTTCAATGTACAAATCTTCTACTTCTTTTACTGAATTTATTCCTAAGTATTTTATTTTTAATGATATTGTAAACGAATTGTAATGTGTTTATGATTTTGTTTTTGAATTGTTCTTGCCAGTGCATGGAAATACAATAGCTTTTAAATATTGATCTTGTATCCTACAATCTTGCTGAACTCATCTATTAGCTCTAATTGTTTTTTGGTAAACAACTTATCATTTTTTATGTACAAATTCATGTCACAATCATAGAGGCCGTTTTACTTCTTCCTTTCCAATGTAGATGGCTTTTTGTTCTTTGCCTGGTCTGACTGCCCTATCTAGAACCTCCAGTACAATGCCAAATAGAAGTTGTAAGAGTAGATATCCCTGTCTTTCTCCTGATCTTTGGGAGAAGACATTCAGTCTTTTATCATTAAGTGTGATATTAACTGTGAGTTTTTTGTAGGTGCCTTTTATCAGGTTGAGAAAATTTCCTCTTATTCCTAGTTGGCTAAGCATATTTATCAATGTTTTCAATGCTTTTTTGCATCTGCATTGGACTAAATGTTTATGCTCCCCTAAAATTCGTATGTTGAAACCTAAACCCCAAGGTGATGGTACTAGGAAGTGACAAGGCATTAAGAGCGGGATTAGTGACCTTATAAAAGATGCCCAAGAGAGACCTCTTGTTCCACCATGTGAAGACACAATGAGAAGTCATCTACAAAATAGGAAACAGGCCCTGATTTTATCAGCTACCGAATCTGCCAGGGTCTTGATCTTGGACTCTCAGCCTCCAGAACTATGAGAAATACATTTCTGCTGCTTATAAGCTACCCAGTCCATGGTATTTTGTTGCAGCAGCTCAGATAGATTAAGACAGCATCTGTTGAGATGATCATGTGGTTGTTGTCTATTATTCTATTAATATGGTATATTAGATTGATTGATATTCATATGTTTAACCAATCTCATACTCCTGGGAGTAACTCACTCGGTCATAGTGTATAATGT